ACACCTCCCAGCCTCCCCCTCCTCCCACAGCCCAGGCACCATACCAGGGCCACGGGGTCCCCCTGGCAGCACCGTGTGCCAACGGCTGTCTGGAGATAGCTGGAAGGGGCACCCTGCACCCCTCTCTGGAGAGGAGATAGTTATTGGCGCCCGGCTGCCCTTCCCAGCACATCCTCACCTTTTTCAGGATGATGTCGATGTAGCCAGCAATCAGCTGGGCAATCTGCTCCCCCTCCGTCGTCTGCACCGAGTAGTAACCATCCTGGTAATCTCCAAAATCCTGTAACGGCACAGCACGGGGTAGCGCTGGAGCAGGGTGCTGACGGCTATCCTAAGCCCCTCTAGTATGCGCTAAGCACCCAGTGCCAGCCTCCAAAACAGAAGCCAGGGCTAGGAGAGGCACCGGAGGAGGGCAAGACTGTCCCACCGCAGGGCAATACCCAAGAGAAGGGTTGGCATGAGAGCAGCCCCCCACAGGGGCACCACCAGGGAGGCGGGGTGGAGGACCAGGGCTGGCCCCTACCAGGGTGAAGCTCTTGGGTGAGGCTGCCCAGCGCTTGATGTTGGTCAGGCTCCACTCCTGAATCACTTCCTTGGTCTTCTCATCCACACGCATCACACACTCCTTGGTGATCCCCAGCAGTTGCAGCACCAGCTTGTTCTTCCCCTTCATTTTCTCCTGCGGGCCACAACAGAAGGGTTGCGGGCTGCTCCTGGGACGGATCCATCCAGGCAGAGACCCTCCCTTGGCCTCCCTTGGCTACAAAACACCCCCAAGGCCACACTTTCAGGTGGTGACAACCATGACATGGGGCTTGAAAACGAGAAAAAGCATGAACCAAGAAGTGGAAAGGCAGTGCACAGGGAAGGCCAAGAAGGACAGATAGTGGGGACGCAGGGAAAACTGGAGCAACGCGGGTTGATGGGTAGCAGCTCAACAACAGAGAGATGTTGGAGAAAGGAAATTTTGTCCAGGGGATCCACTGCTCTACCTTGACCAGGAAGAAGGAGACCCCGTAGGTCTTGAGGGAACGGGCAAGTTTCACGTAGCAAACTTTGGCCTCGATCTCGCTCATGATCCCACAGTTCTTGTGGGCCTGCGACAGCAAAGAGAGAACATCATGCTAGCTCCACGGTCCCCTGGCTGTGCCACCATTGCCCTGTCATTGTCTTTCCAGGCTCTCTCCACCCCACCAGTGGCCCCTGCCCCTGCTACAGCATCCCTCTGAGACCTCAGGAGCTGCCTTGTCTGCCCACCTACAGCTTCGTGCTCCTATTTCTCACCTGCCAAGCCACTACATGACGCTTCCAGGGACAAGAACAACCTCAACCTTTGGCAAGGAGGAACAAGAAGCCCAGGTCTTAACACCCCCCTTGCACATACCATGAAGATCTTGCACTCCCCTTTCTGCTTGATGTACTCCTTGGGCAGGAAATCCTTGAGTCTGCCAAGAGACAGCCAAGCCAGCTGTTAGCAGCAGAGCTAAGCCAGCATTTGTCTTCGACTACAAAGAGGCGCAACCCAGAGCCTCGGACAAATCCCTGCCAGGGCATGGTCTGGGAGTTTTTGGGAGCAGGAAGGATGTGGGAGAGGTTTCTACAGTAATGAAAGCTGCCCCAGGAACTGCCCTGCTGAGACTGGGGTGGAGGTGCCAAGGATGCAGCTCTTCATGCAGCATCAGGGGGGACCGTATGGTGGGCTGGGATCCCCCGCCATCAGAGCTGGCTGCATGTCCTGGGGGGTGCCAGAGGGAGCAGGAGGTGGGGCTGGCACCCCTTGCAGCCGGCGTGGACCTCCACGCTTGGGCACTGTGCTGCAGGGAGGAGAGGGGTCACACCAGAGGCGGTGCTGGGGGCTGCCAAGCTGCTTGAGCCACCTGGGGCTCCCCAGGACACTCACTCCAGAAAGCCTGGCTTGTGCTTCTGTTCGTTGTGTGACCCAAACTGGATCTGGCACTGGTAGCCAGCAAATTCACAGGCTTTGTCAAAGGAGACAGGGTGGGAACCGTTAAGGATGTCATCGCGAGCCTGTGTGGAAAGAGAAGACACTGCTGTGGGCTGGGCAGCCATGCAGCCCTTCCACTGCTCCCCTCCACGCCGGGCAGGACCTGTTTTCCAGACAGAAAAGAAGTGGCCATGGAAAAAAGGAGGATCTAGGGGCAGGCTGTCCCCTGCAGGGACCATCACCATTCCTGGGAGAGGAACAGCAGCAGGACTTCAGGATGGTTCCCACCAAGCAGAGGAGACATGGGATCCCCTGGGGAGCTCCGGAGTATGCAGAGGGCAGGGCTGGGATTGCCAGTGTTGGCTCTTACCCAGGAGATAACTGGGCATCCTGAAGTGCCCCCCCGTGGTGGTTGCTGGCCAAACCCCTCAGCCACCAGCCTTGGCAGGGGACTGGTACAGGGCGGGGGGGTGGCATGGGGCAGCAGAGAGAGGTGCTCCAAGGAGCTGTACCTGCACATAGAGCAGGTTGAGCTGCACAGGATCTCACGAGCCCACGTTCTGGTCAGAGAAGAACTTGCGCCACAGCAGCAGCGTTTCATTGTCATCAATGCCTTGCTCACGCAGGGTCCGGCCGTGGTCCAGCCAATTCACTGCAGGCAACACCAGGGCATGAGCATGGGCGGACACCCAGTCAGGGCTGGTCCCGGCCCCAGGGCTGCTCATGCAGAGCAAGAAATGGATGTCTGTTTGGTGCATCCTGGCTCTCATCCCTCTGCCCTGGGCCTCCACACAGAAGGAGAGACTCCAAGGAGCGTAGGCACATGTCCCCTCATCACAGTCCTCTCTACTCCCCTGTGTTGGGTCTTCCCCTTGCAGGGAGGGGCCCTGCTCCCCTCTCTGCCCACCAGCTCTCCTCTCCGCTGCCTTCGGCACAGGCTGACCCTGTCCCCAGCATGTGCAGGCACGTACACTCGTCATCCGTCTGCAACTTCTGCTTGAGCTTCTCCATCTTCTTCTCATCTCGCAGCAGGGTCTTGTCCTTGAGGGTGCTGGTAACCTCCTTCTTCTCTTCTATAATCTCCCGAACAAGTGAGTACTCATCGTAGTTGGTGATGCCTGCAGGAGTGCAGAGGACCAAGCTCAGCATGACATCAGTGCCAAATACAGAGCCTGAAACGATGCAGGGGTGCAGAGCGGTGTCCCCTCCCCAGCATCACGCACCCCTCGGACATCCCTGCTGCCAGGCTATCTGCTGCAGAGCTGCTGCTGGTACCCCCCACCAGACGCTGCCATCTCTCCCCACCTCCCTTCCTCCCCCTTGCTGCTGCCCCCTCCTCTCACCAATCCGGGCACAGATTGTCATGAGCATGTCCGTGACTGTTTTGGAGTCATCCACCATCACCATTTTCACTGTCCCATCCAGCATGCGGATCTTCAGGGGCCGCTGCTTCTTCTTGTACTCCATGGTGTCCTGCGAGCACAGCAGAGCACAGCTCCCAGCAGCGGCACCGGCACAGGGCGCCTGCATCCTACCACCATGCCAACAGCTCCCATCTCCCCGGTGCAATCGTGAGGGGGGGCATGGGGTACATCCAGGCACAATGCAAGGCAGCAGGGCAGGCACCTGCAGCACCTCCCCACCGTGGGCACGTCTAACCGCAGAGCCGAGGCCGGTACCAGCTGGAAGGACACGGGATGGATGCTTACCCCATTGAGAAGCATGTAGTAGTCCAGAGCCTTCCCAGCCTCCAGCCAGATCCCTTTCTTTGGGTCTTCATCCGAGAGGAACAGCCCAAAATCATTGGCTGAAAAACAGGTAAAGTCTCTGCCAGGATAATCCTGAGCAGGACAGGGCCACCAAGATGCCAGCCTGCACCCAGGGATGTGCCTGCAGCCCAGCACGCAAAACACAGCAGTACTGTGCACACTGGAGCCCAGCAAAAAGCTGGCAAGCAAGCTTCAAGGTACATGTTTTACCATATAGTTATCTATGGAAAAATTCATCTGAAGGATGCCTATGCAATGCCAAACTTGGAACTGACCACAACTGAAGGAAGAGCTTGGAGTTGTGGTTGACAGCTCTCTGAAATCTTCAGTGCAACATGTAGCAGCAGCCAAAACAAGGTAGTAAAATGCTGGGCATCACCAGGAAGGGTGCTGGGAACTGGTTTATAAAACCTAGACACATCCATACTTTGAACACTCCATGGTGGTGTGGTCTGCACCTCCCCAGAAGGACACAGCGGAGTTTGAAAAGATACAGAGATGGGCAACTTAAATGATGGAGCCTTGGTACGAGGGACTAAAGAAGCTGGGACTCCTCCGTTTGGTGAGGAGGCTGAAAGAGGATGGGATCAAAGTTTACAAGGTCTCAGAGGTGGTGAGAAAGTACAGAAGTGCTGTTCACCAAATCCTGCTCCCTCAGGGCTGGGCTACCCAGTGAGAGCGCTGATGATGATGCCTTAGCAGTGGCACCCCGGCTTGGACCCACAGGGATGGCCCTGTCGTCTTGCTGCAAGAAGCCAGGACCACGCCTGGCTTTGCCCTGGGAAAGGTCCTTCTCCACCTTTCCAACAATCCCTCGCTGCAGGCTGTCTTGGCTGGCTGCTAAGTTTATAATGAGTCATCTCGTTGGCAGCTCTCTGCAGGGAGGGACAAATTCCTGAAGCACCCCACTCCTGCCTGGCTAACACTGCTGTTAGGATCCTACTGAACAGGGAGCAGAAAAATCACTGAGGCTTTCCTTTTTTTTTTTTTATATTAAAAAAAAAAAGCTATTTTCAAAGCAAATTCTAAAAGGATAATTCTAAAGCACAGAAAACTGAGCAGCTTGCCCCAGATCCATAGCTTGGGCAGGGAGAGGTGCTTCCTGAGACAGAGCAAGAGCAGCTCTGGAAACCTACACCGAAGCTCCTCCAGTCCAAACATCACAAAAAAACAGGGCAGCTCAAAAAGGGACCCCCAAGTGCCACCGGGTAAGGAGAGCAAAGAGAAACAAAAGCTGCAAGGAACTGATAGGAAAAGAAAAGCTGTGAGCAACTGAAAAGGAACTTGGGAATAAGCAATTCCCTTTAAGGTTTTCCCCTTGCCTTTTTTTTTTTTTTTTTTTTAGCAGGCTGGCTCACACCCAGGAGCAGGAAATGCAACACCGTTACAGCCCTGCATCCACATAAACATCCAGTCCCTCTCCGAAACTGAAAGCTGTGATCCGCCATACCGTGTCCCACGGGCCAGATGGGCACCACATGAGAAGGCATTTCCTTTCATCCATGAGGAATTCGCAGCTCCCAGATGTTGCTGTGCTCCCCCTCCTCTTCCCACAACTCCTGACCTCCTGTTTGCTGCCTGCCCAATGCATGGCTCTCCTCAGTGGCAGAGCCGCTTTCGGAAGCAGCAGGGACCCAGGAAAGCCCCCAAGATGATGTCCCAGTGTTCCAGCCCCCCCATCCATGCCAGAGACAGGCCACATCTGTGTGGGCATGAATTGCATCATGAGCTCATGTGACATAAGCTTACTTTTGAGCCTTGCGGCAGCAGGGAAATATTAGAGCTGAAAAAGCTTAGCAAGGTAACGGAGCACCAGCACAGAGTCTGGCAGAGAGCTACCGGGGGGATCTGATGGAGGACTATATATCCCCCAAGAAAGTAAAAATTAACTTATATGATTTATTAATGCTCGCTACAACCCCTGCGACTGTTTAAACCCACCTAGTCCTGGCTAGTGGTGATGAATGCAAGTAGGAGAGAGGAGCAGAGAAAGGGCAGCAGGCTCAAAGAGCTCAACGAGTATTTCACTTCCAAATGTGTTTTCCTACCTCCCAAGCCCCCAAATTTCTTCTGGGGTGTCAAGGAAGGAGCCTGAGGAGCTCAGCCCCTCACCTCAACCAGGCAGGAGGACTTGGACCTTGCTCCCCCCACTGCTCTGTGCCAGCTGGGAAAGCCCAGACAGGCACGGGGACAAAAGAGGAAAGGGAAGCCAGTGAAATGCCAGGAGCCAAGCCGGAGTGGCCCTGGCACAGCAGCACAGCAGACAGCCCCACCACAGACTTACGCTGTCCCATCTGGGCCTCGGGCACCCACTCGCGGATCATTTGGCAGGCATCGTACACCATGGTGGAGGGCTCGAACTGCATCATCTTCACCACGTTGCCGATGCTGATCTTCAGCGAGAGGGCAACCATGGTGGTGGCTTGGCTGTCCCCACTCCTGTGTCACCTGCTGGAGGAGACAGCCA